GTCCCTTAGAAAGTGCATGCTAAGCTGTGAGGTCCTCTGTTGTCCTTGTGGTTTGTGTGAGTAGTGTGGTGTGTAGTTAGGACTTGAAGGTAACATAAGTTAAAACTGCTCAGTTAGCCTCTAGGCTTGCATGAGCGTTCATGCACCTTCACTGGCCTGAGAATGCTCTCACAAGCTTTAAGACTCCAGATCCATGCTGTGTGTGACTTGTCTTGCTCACCACTTAGTGTGACTCATGACTCACTGGGGTTCATGATGTTATCTGTGGGTTTGTTATAGAACAGCAGTGAGGCTGAGGCTTCGGGAGGGAGCAGAATGGCATGAGCACACTATACTGTGCCTTCCAATGCTCCTGATTTTGTCTATGCAGTCTGGTTTTGTGGGTAAACTTGAGCTGATTGTACTGGCTCAAGTATTTCATCCTGAGATAATTAGTTGTATTAAATGTAGTTTTACTTTCATGTATTAATAAGAAGGCATTGTTAAAGTGCCTACATGATGATTATAAATGCCTTGCTTTGAGTTTTTATTTTTTTCAATTTGGAAATTATGTCCAGAGCTTTGAATTCTTGGGTAAAATTCATTCACATTTCCAAATAATAAATTTTGAGAAATGAATTGTCTTGATAGGCTCTGTCCTTGTAGTAATGGCTGGGGACTGCAAGACCTGTCTCTAAGCTCTTCATAGCAACAAGAAGACAATGGTGTTATGCACCAACTCAAGGTACCATCCTCTAACTATAGCTTTGCATTTCAGAGGGTCCAGAAATTACTGTGCAACCTGCTGCCCAGCCAACCGAGCAGGAGAGTGTGTCTCTCTTGTGCACTGCTGATAGAAATACATTTGAGAACCTCACTTGGTACAAGCTTGGCTCACAGGCAACTTCGGCCCACAATGGTGAACCACTGACGCCAGTGTGCAAGAATTTGGATGCTCTTTGGAAACTGAATGCTACCATGTTTTCTAATAGCACAAGTGACATCTTGATTGTAGCATTCCAGAATGCATCCCTGCAGGACCAAGGAGACTATGTCTGCTCTGCTCAAGATAGGAAGACCAAGAAAAGACATTGCCTAGTCAAACAGCTCATCATTTTAGGTATGGAGGCATTCTTGGGCAATGTGTTGCAATGCCTTAAAAGCAGTGTGTTCAGATGCTGTGTCAATAGTACAGGCCTCTGGTAGCTTTCCAAGCAGTGTGTTCAGATGCTGTGTCAATAGTACAGGCCTCTGGTAGCTTTTGTAGTAGGCTAGTTCATTCCTAAGAAGCAGAACAAAGCTATGAGTGCTGAGGTGATGCATTAAAATTAGAAGACAGCTCTGCTCTTTGTAGCCTTTATGATGAAGTCACTACTAGGGATGAAGTCACTGCAATTAGGGATTAGCTTGAGCCAGGAAGTTCCTGTGGCATCTTTAGGTATTCAATGATTAAAATGAGAATGTTTGTGTAATGCTGTGAGAAAAAAGTGCCAGAAACTCATAGTGCGGACCTAGAAGGACAGACAGGATGAGATGACAGGCAAACACTGGGTGATCATACCATTATGAGGTCTCCAATTCATAAGGACAAAAATTGGTCTCTGCTTGCTTACTGTAACTTTAATCATAGAACACAGTGGCATATACTAGGTTGTAACTTTAACCATAGAACACAGTGACATATATTAGGTGCTTATCAGGTGCTTAGTGTGATAGCTGCTTCACAAAGAGTATGATGAGTTTAAGATCTAGAAGATTCAATGGAAAGCGTGCTACACTCATTGCCTGTACTTCTGTGGTATCCCATGTGGTCTAGGGTAGCTGAAGTTCATTCAGTGGCATAAATTTGTGATTAGAGCCTGGCCTAGGATGATGTGGTAGACTTTGGGGAGCCCCTTTTGAGGGCCTTACCCTGCCTGGGGAGTGGAGGGGGGATGGCTAGGGGCAGGTGGGATGTTGGGGGGAGGGGAAGGAGAGGGAGAAGGGATTGACATCTGAAGCAAGCTTGTTCCTAATTTGAACTAATAACATAAAATAAAATAAATGTGATTAGAAAGTCTTTTGCATTCCCTATGGGGATTTTCTCTATGTTTTGTCTAACTTTGTACTTTGCACAGAACCTGATCAATCTCTGCTCAGTCCTGAGGAGATATGGTGAATTTAGGGGGTTTCTCTTTCTTCCCTTTCCTTTCATTTCCTCCTTTCTTTGCTGTGCCCTTCAAGGTTCTTGTGGTGTGTATCTTCTCCCTTTTATAGTTCAATGAAGAGAAACTTCCCAGCTTAGTGTATCTATACCAAAATTTAATACCAATATCATCATCTTGAATGCTTTGGCTTATTTATGGAAGTCCCTCCAAATAGACACCAGTGTAATATTTTCTGTTATGATGACTTGGGGACATAAGGAAAGATGTTTTTGAGTCAAGTCATTCCAAAGATCCTGGAAATCACACTGATGGCACATAGGACCAGTTATATTATGTGGACATTAGTGGCTGGTCCATCTGTGGAAGAGTTTAGAAAGAGATGTGAAGGAGGCTCCTGACTTAACCATGACCAGAAAGTGCAGGACCACAGTCAGTAGGTGTGCTGTTATAAGGACACGTGCTGTTTCCCAAAATCTATTCTTAGAAACGGATCAGAGCCCAGGACATTCGTTTAAACTATGATGTAATGTGCTCTAGAGATAATCGAAATTTGCTAAGTGTTGAAGTGGATTCTTTCAATGTAACTCTTTTTGATGCTCGTTTGGTTTGGATAAGATCTTTCCACAACAGTTGGATGACTTACAGGAGGAGAGCAAAGCTTGTGTCTTGCTGTGCATGTAAACAAATGCCCATGGGTCCATGACTTTTCATATGGCATTACTGTTTGGTTTGTTTGGATTTTAGTGAAACTACACTGCACTTTCAGCCTCACAACATTCTATTATTAACTCAACCATTTACTTAGTTATAGGGGCTTGGGTGAGATACCTAAACCCCCAAACTGCAATCTCTTCACCAAAAAATAGGGTTAATGGCCTGGGCCTTCATAATATATAACTGATAGTAAATATTAGAAATGATATAAAGTCATCCAATAAATATAAGTCACTCCCTATGTACTTATGCTGAAGTTTTGCCTTTCCCAAGTGAAAACATGCACTCTTAGTGGTTACAACCTTGCTGAGAAGGAGTTGCCCTTGGGGGAAATCCTTACGTGATTGTAGGGGGGGAAAACCTATAATGTGAAAATAATCCCCAAAGATTCCTGAACTGTGGTTTGCATGTAGGGAGATTATTTTGAACATTTAAAGGCTGTCATGGTCAGTCAGAACTGCCCTTCTTTATTAGATTTCACTCCACTCATCCACCAGCAGTGCTCTTGTCACTATCTGGGAAGTTTCAGCTCACTTCATCAATGGGCCACTGCTTCTTAAGTGTAGACTGTCCAATAGTCACAGGACACTAAAGCTGTTCTCATAGTCAGAAGCATGGACTCTATGGTCTCCTTTTTATGTTCATAGAGCGCATGGCACCCATGATCATTGGAAATCTAGAGAATCAGACGACAATGATTGGCGAAACCATCGAAGTTTCTTGCCCAGCATCGGGAAACCCTACCCCACACATTACATGGTTCAAAGACAATGAGACACTCGTGGAAGATTCAGGTGAGTGAGCTTGTCTATTTTTCTAGTGGTCAATTTTTTCTCAAGGATGCTGTGTAAAACTGCTCTCATTTCTTGGTTTATTTCAAAGTTGACAGAAAGCAGTATTTATGGGGTTGGAGAGACAGTTAGTCAGTGAGATGCTTGCCACACAAGCATGAGGGCCTGCATCCACATCCCTAGAACCCTCGTAGAAAACTAGACTTAGCATCTATCTGTAATACCAGTCTAAGGGGCAGGGTGTATGTGTGGAGGACGGGGTGGAAGACAAGTGCATCCTTGGAGCCCATTTGACAGCCTGTCTAGCTAATCATTGAGTTCCAAATTCAGGGAGAGACTCTGTCTCAAAAGAATAAGGTAGAAAATAATAAAGAAGACACCCAACATTGACCTCTGGCCTCTATGCACACATCTCCCCCAACACTCACACATGCTCGCATGAACACTCAAAAATGTATTTGGGTAAAGGGTCTATCTGGCTCATTTCAGATCCAGAAGCAGCATATTTGGAGTCCTATTGATTTCACATGGAGATCCCATGGGAGATAGGAGTCAATCCCATGTGCCTCTTTAGAGTTGGATAATAGCCAGAGCTGAAGGGCAGCAGCAACTATTCTAAGAATTTTCTCAATGCACAGATTGCATCATCAGAAACAAAGCAAGCAATTCCTTCCTCTTTTAGGAATTGTACTGAAAGATGGGAACCGGAACCTAACTATCCGAAGGGTGAGGAAGGAGGATGAAGGCCTCTACACCTGTCAGGCCTGCAATGTCCTTGGATGTGCACGAGCGGAGACACTTTTTATAATAGAAGGTCAGTGTGATGCCATAGACCCAACAGATTTTTTTTTTTTGGATTAGTCTGTGTTTATAGCCTCAAATACTTTGAGTGGGATGGAATGTAGGTGACTATGCTCTTCATGGTGGTTAAGTGTTTCATATCTAAAATATTTAGGAAGAGATATAGTCCAGCTTTTAGAATTTTTCATATGTTTAATAGATATTTTGTGGAGGGGACCTACATCCAAGCATAAAACTTGTTCAGGTGTCATGTAAACTTTACACACATAGCCAGAAGGCACTTTTACATAACATTTTCAGTGCATCTGCCTGTTGGTTGTGTCTTGTCACTTGAGGTAAGGGACTAGCACTCAAAAAGTTTCTGATCTTGGTCCTCTGGGAGTTCTGAGTTGGAGATTCTCCCCCTGTTCTTCATACTCTGTCTTCAATGGGTTTCTGTTCTTTTAATCAGAAAACAAAATTATGGGTATGCTTCAGCCTGTACCATATTTCCTATTCACGCGGCTCTCACTGTGAGAAAACTTTTAGCCAGGAGTGATGAATAGCCTCCTGTCCCTCGTTCTCACTTTGTTTGAATGGCCAAGTTAACTTAAAGAATTGATGCTTGGAAAATAATTAGATTTGGTGTTGACATTGCTATTCAATTAGTGACATAGGTTCAGAATTTTCACTAGAGCTGAGGCAAGATTCACTCATAAACGATAGATGATTGCTTTTGTGACATGGAAAATTGAGGGTTATTATTGAAAACTGAAAGGAAACCTCTTTCCTTCTACCCTGTGTGTGTGTGTGGTGTATGCCTTTTTTTCAGTCAGCAATCTATGACAGAATATTTCAACTTATGAAGAGCATGCTGAGTCCTTTTTTTCTTTTATAACCTACTAAGAGAACAATGCAACTATATTGTGTGACTGAAGGAGTGGTGTGCAAGGGGATGATTGAGGGAGGTTAGAGAGGCAGGGTTGGCGGATTTCTAAAGTCTAGATGTTGGTCCCTTTAATCTGTCAAACTCACGCTGTTGAATATTGCATCTAGAGTGACTATCATGTTCTCAAATCTGTAAGAATGTTAGGATTCCATGAACTGCAGCTGCAAGTGAAGATGCCAATTGCATGGTAGTTCTATCATCTTCAAAGACATCCATGTCTTAGTGCTGATCTCAGGGAGGATGTGCCCATCAGTTCTCTCTGGTACTCTACTTCCCTCCATTAGCCTTCTGCATTAGGTTACCCTGCCTGAGTGGGCACAGTGGCATGGGTATTGTGGAGACTCACCTGGGGACAATAGCAAGATGTTTAGCTCTCAGATGTTAATATGAGAATATTCATACAAAAACTGGTAGAGACAGTTCAACCTTTGACCTTTCTTCTGTGCCACATGAATAGACTTCTAAATCTTTACACACAGATAGAGAATTATTTCCCTGGGAACCGCAGAGAAACCAAATCCACTTACTGATGCATTCAGAGCTTGTCTCCCAACTGGTAACTCTTATTTTGCCAACTAATTAATTGCTTGTCTTCTGGCTTCTGGCTCCCCACTCCCTCCCCCCAGCTAGCTCAGGGCTCATTTCAACTCATACTGCACACTGGGAGTTGAGAGACAGAGATCCCAAGTGATAATTGTGTCCTAATCACCTCCCTCCTAATCATTTGGTGCTAAGAGCCTTCTGCTGGTAATTCTCCTCTTGGAACACACTCTGGAGAGGAGTCTACAACTTTCTATGCCTTGCTTAGCTTTGCCTTTCTCCTTTCCTTTCACACATCAGTGCCCTTATGTCAGTGGCTTATGCCAGTTTCCCTTCCTTCTCTCTCTCTCTCTCTCTCTCTCTCTCTCTCTCTCTCTCTCTCTCTCTCCTCTCCTCTCCTCCCCCTCTTTATCTTCCTTTCTCCCTTTCTCCTCTCTTCTGCTTTTCACACTTCTGCTATGCAGGGACAGGGTGAAATATTGGTGAGCCCAATTTGGATGGACCTGGTATAACCCTTGAACAACCCACCAACTTCCTGTGTCTCTCAAACAAGTAGCTTAATCCTTCAAATCTTATTCCTTCAATCTGAATACTGAAAAAGTGAAGCAGGTTGTAGGTGTGTGGTCACAGGCAGCTGTCGGGGCAAAGGGCTTCCCTTATTTCCTTGTAGAGTTTTCTAAACAATCACTTTTCCCATGCCACACAAGTGAAAAAATTGACTGTCAGCACAAAACCAGACTGTATTACCCACAAATGGAAGTACCTTTTCTTTTTCCCTCAAAAGAAGTCTCTCACCAGACACATCCTATACGCATCTATTAAGATACTTGTGCACCTATGGTTCATTGAGAATCCTATTACTGGATGTTTTCTTGTTCTTTAAGAATGCTGGAAACTCTATCCAACTTAAGGAGCCTGTGGCTGTTGGTCTGTGGAGGTCTTGAAAGTGGATGAGCCTGAGGTCCTGCCTTCATGTCATAGCTTTATCACCTTCTGTCAAAGGCTTTCAGTTGCTGATCACTCAAATGTGTGTCTTCCAGGTGCTCAGGAAAAGACCAACTTGAAAGTCATTATTCTTGTGGGCACTGCTGTGATTGCTATGTTCTTCTGGCTACTTCTTGTCATCGTTCTACGGACCGTTAAGCGGGTAACAACATAATGTCCATCCTGTCCCTTGCATGTTGGTTTTTGTGATTAATGGAACCTGACTGGGCTTCTTTCAGCTGCTTCTTCCCATTGTTATTGATTCAATGGGCACATTTTTACTTCAATACAATAACATTCTTGTCCATTTTCTTTGGCTGAACTATGGACGTTAATTGATGGAAGCCAGTGGAGGGGTAAAGGGTTTGGACTGTCCACTGTAATTAAGATTTAGAAACTTTATTCTGAACTCATTTTGGAAACTAAAGAGGCACTAAAAGCAGGGTTATAATAGGACTTCTCTCAAACTTCATGAGTTTTATTGGAAAATGAGATACCATGAATGGGTCCCCTATTAAACAGCAACAAGTATACAAAACAACAACCAAACAACAGGATCTGTGTGTGAGTGGAAGGGTTTATACTTTCTAGGCCAATGAAGGGGAACTGAAGACAGGCTACTTGTCCATTGTCATGGATCCAGATGAACTGCCCTTGAATGAGCGCTGTGAACGCTTGCCTTATGATGCTAGCAAATGGGAATTCCCCAGGGACCGACTGAAACTAGGTGAGTTGTCAACTGGAATTAACTTGATTTTGATTTTAGCAGTCCACCTAACTCTCCTTAAGACAATGACATGTCTAGTCTATTCATAGGATGCATTCTGATTCATAAATGTTAATTCTATCTCTTGACTTTGGGTATTCATCCATATAGCCTTCTATAAGTAAGGAACCCATACAATCATTCAAAGCAGGGCATTTTAGAGGGTGAAGGGAAAAGCCAGGAGGAGGAAGTAAACCAGGCTGTGGATCTAAATGGAATACAACGTCACCTTAACCAATTAGAATCTTCACAGAGTCCTCTGATAGTGTGACATGACAATCAAATTTTGTAATTATCATTATCATTGGTTCTAGGGAAGCCTCTTGGCCGTGGTGCCTTTGGCCAAGTGATTGAGGCAGATGCCTTTGGAATTGACAAGACAGCAACTTGCAAAACAGTGGCCGTCAAAATGTTGAAAGGTAAAAAGCAAAATGACATTGTGATGTGGCTCCCTCTATCTTGACCATCATTAAGAATGGTATAAGGCTTGCATTGGTGGCTCTGTGCATAGGTTGGCCAGAAGGCCCCTGGCTTCTGGTAGTTTTGCACAAACTGGAAACAGTTCCCTCCTTAAAAAGTGTCATGTAAGGGCACATGACCAGGGAGCAAGGATCAACTAGTACAATTGGGGGAAAACTATCTGGGTCTATTAAAAGTTTTCCTCAATGTATTATGGTGTAAGCTGATATAAACCCTTTGGAAATGAGGAAAGAAGTTTGTTATCAGTAAAAATATGAGAATGCGAAACCATCATGTTCTTTAGAATTAGAACATGCCAAAGAACTTCATTTGCAAAGGTATTTTACGAAGTAAGAGTAGCTATGCAAACAGAAGAGGATGTGGGTGTTCTTTTAGACATCAGCATCTTTTCATAGTAACGGAGCTACAGCCTGGACATTCTGATGAGGGAAAGTGATGTAGGTAAAGCTTCTGCTCCATTTGTGACTGCTTCCATGGAGGGAGATGCTGCTGCTTGTCCTTTGCCAGTAGGTCTTGTGCCTTTCTCCCTTTGCGTTTTCTATCTCCAGGCTTAAGGTAGGTGTGTGCATGTGTGCGTGCCTGTGTGTGTGCGTGCCTGCGTGTGTGCGTGCCTGCGTGTGTGTGTGTGTGTGTGTGTGTGTGTGTGTGTGTGTGTGTGGGTGTGTGTGTGTGTGTGTGTAGAGATGGGTCATCAGGCCCTGAGGTGAAACCCATAGTTGTGAGTAAGAAGTGTAGCTGTCCATATAGCTTCAAATGCAGCCTTAGCCCCAGTACGCTCATGTGCAAGCAGCTTTGCTTGTGTGCTAGTCCTGTTAACTTATTTATTTGGTGCAGATCAATTGGAAAATTAGTATAGACTTGAGCAAATTTACCACATTGTGTGTGTGTGTGTGTGTGTGTGTGTGTGTGTGTGTGTGTGTGTGTGAAGAGGGGAAAGAGAAGAAAGTGATGGAGGGACAGAGAGAGAAGAAGAGGAAGAAGAAGGAGGAGGAGAAGGAGAAGGAGGAGAGAGAGAGAGAGAGAGAAGCTAAATCATCAAATAAAATTCACTTTATTTTTCTGCTGTGAAGAATTAAATTTGAACTAGACTATTTTGTACTTTTCATATATTTTCCATAATATTTTAGAGGCAAAGGGAGACCCAAAAATCCCATGTAGGTCCCAGGGGCCCGGGGTTTGAACTCAGGAGTTGTTAGGCTCAGTGGGCAAGTGCCTTTATTCACCCAACTCATGGTCCCTAGATCTGAGAATACTTAATGTATGGGACCCTTCCCTATGAGGAATCATTGAAGTGATTATGACCTAAGTAGCCTATTATACCTGAAAATTCCAGTTTTGAATAGAAAGAGAATCTGGCTTTGATTCCACTGCAAATATGTTCCCAACTTTACAAGAAACTCACCTTAGATTCAGGGTTTGCTTAAAATAAAGCCTTGCTTTCTAGTTAGAAAACCGAGTTTGCATTTGACATTTCAGAACACACCATTGCTCTGTCAGCTATAGCTGCCCTCTTCTGGGAGAGCAAGTTGTGTGGTTAAGTGCACCCATCATCCTGCAGCAATGGCGACAGTTAACAGTTATTGTCTTTATTCTGAATTTGTAGAAGGAGCAACACACAGTGAGCACCGAGCCCTCATGTCTGAACTCAAGATCCTCATCCACATTGGCCACCATCTCAATGTGGTCAACCTTCTAGGTGCCTGCACCAAGCCAGGAGGTAAGTAACTGCTGTGACTGCCCGCGGGAGTTTGACTCATAGCTCTCCCTCTGTTAGCGTTTGAAGGAAGCAATACTTTGAAGAATCCTAAATGTACTATGCTGCAGGGAGGTAAGTAACTGCTGTGACTGCTCTCGGGAGTTTGACTCATAGCTCTCCCTCTGTTGGCGTTTGAAGGAAGCAATACTTTGAAGAATCCTAAATGTACTATGCTGCATAGAAATTTAGTGGACACCATAATCAAATGATTCTGTAGCATCCTTTGAATTAAAGAATAGTCTCATCATGGGGAGATGTTTTGTTAGATGGGAAAAAGGAACATTCCCCAGACCTTGGCAGGAAAGAAACTCTCATCATCTCCTTTGCCTCCCATCCCGTAGTCACCTCAGCTGATTGCTGATGTTTGGATTACTCATGTAGAATCATCTTTTTGAAAAAGAAAAATTGTAATAGGAAGGATTGGTGTCAGCCGATGTCGCCCACCCTGTTCCTGTGAAAGGTTAAATGTAGCCTTCTTCTAGGGCAGTTTTGGGCTTATCAATATGCTGAGCACATAGTGAGAAGTGTTGGTGAAGTGCATTTTCTTTCTTAACTCACTGTGTTATTTGCAGGGCCTCTCATGGTGATTGTGGAATTCTGCAAGTTTGGAAACCTATCAACTTACTTACGGGGCAAGAGAAATGAATTTGTTCCCTATAAGGTATGTCGTTGTCGTCTGCCTGAGCATGGTCATACAGAAAGCAGAGCAAAACTCAAAGTGGCTCACATATGTCTTTTAGTTGGAATTCTTTGCACATTTCCCTGGTTGTCTTAACGTCCACTTTTGTCTTCTGGGGGTTGTAGGCTTCTCATATTTTATTTTTAGGACTTTAATCTCCTGACCCATTACAACGGTGCTAGATTTGATTAAGGAAAGAGTAGGGCCGAAGGAGCATTGGTTCTAGATTATAGTCTGTCACCTCAGTCATATGTGGCTCCATGAGGGTTCATCTCTCTGTAAAGAGGACACTAATGGAAGTTTGTCCAAGTATTCCTGGAGACACTTGGCACTTGACACTAAAGAGAAGGAGCTTGGTGTTATAGAAGGAACGCTGGTAAAACTCATTCCACATTTCAACTCAGAGACTGTAATCCCAGAGTTGTCTTTTTTGTTTGCTTTTAATAATTTCAACTGTTTGTGACCTTGCAATGCATTAGAGACCCATTCTGTATTTGAGGAATTCACACAGTCCCTTCTTTTCCAGAGTAAAGGGGCACGGTTCCGCCAGGGGAAAGACTACGTTGGGGAGCTCTCTGTGGATCTGAAACGCCGCTTGGATAGCATCACCAGCAGCCAGAGCTCTGCCAGCTCTGGATTTGTTGAGGAGAAATCCCTCAGTGATGTAGAGGAAGAAGAAGGTACCTGCCCTTGCTGCCCATGCCTAATGCACATCCTCTTGTAGAAAGAGACGATGACAAGTTACTCAGCCATGGGGGAAAGCTTCATGGATGAAAGAAATCCAAATTCCTAGGTAGCATCCAGTCAAACTTATCTAAACTATGAAATCCCTAAATAGACAGTGAACTCCCTTGGGAGGCAAAGCATGGTTATCCTGAGAAGTCCAGGCAACTCCGTGTGCTAAGCTGTCACTAGCAATCAAATCAATACTCTGGTCCAGTACTGGATCAGAATTTATTGTCAGTCGAGATTGAATGCTATGTTCGTAAAGAGGATGGGAGCTCTTTGGCGCTTGACTAGCCTTCATTGCCATAAGTGGTTCAGACCCAATAGTGTGCATCACTAGCACACAGAGGGCCCTTCAGTTATCTCTACCTGGCCTTCTCCAAGATGGGTTAGCACATATCTGCCGTTTTCACTCCACTCCAACTGGCTTCTCACACCCCCCTTCTAGCCATGCTTTATGGTCCTGATGGTATTTTAGTGGTATGTATGGGTGGAGCTGGACCTCAGCCTCACCTCCAATGCTTCAATCAGCTCCAGGACACACTGTACATCTGCTTCAATCAGAACGATCAGGCACAGCTGCGTGGTCAAAGTAATGGGGATGCCTAAGGCCTGGTTCTCTTGGGAGTGTGAGTTTAGACAAACACAACCCCACTTCTGTTTCCCCTGCCATAAGCCAACTGACAGATCTTAATCTAACTTCTTTGTCTTGGAAGCTATATAGTTGGCTGGTGGCTAGGGCTTGGGCTAGAGGGGCATAGGGAAGTTGTCTAGACCTGCCGTCAAAAGGTCTGCAGTTAAGTGGGTCGTGTACCCTCTTGCTCACAAATGGTAGCCAGTGAACTAGAAATGCAAGGAGTTAGGAGTAGGGATTGAGGTGTAAATGGCTTGGAATTTCAGGCTTGAACTTTGCCTCTATGTATTTATCTGGAAAATGAAGAGGGCTTCACTGTTCCTAGCCATGTTGCATCACAAGTCATTGAGGAAGAAGTCTCAGCCTTCTTAGTAGTAACAAGGCTATTATGGCAACTGAGTTTGTGTTTACTCTGGTCTTGTGTCCAGGAAAGAGACAGTAGCCATATCTTACCTGATCTAAGTTAGGAGAACATTTCAAAATACCCATGGGTGGCTCAGTGTTTATATGTATCAGTTGTGCTGTAATAAATACTATCAACTTACGTAAATTAATCTTTCTTTCATGTTGTTGTCACTCACTCCTAGTCTTAGAGGAAAGTCTCCTCTACAGGCCAGACTTAATGTGCTTACTGCGTGTCTTAAGTTTGAAAGTGAGAGAAATAAATCTCTTTCTGGTATTTTTAGTTATCTGTTATAGTCTGTAGTTTGAACTTTGGTCTTTGTCCCAGGAGACAAAAGCCCAGAGAGAAAAGATTTGATGACCCTCAATATTGTTGTTTTATTTTTAGAGTTCTTAATATGAGCTATTGTTTTCCCCTCTGAGTTCATGGGAAAAAAACAACTTGAGATAGCAGACTTTAAAAGATCCTTTTTCTCTCCTTTCTGATCTATTCTGATCTCATCTCTATTCTCCTTTCTGGGTTTAGTGGCTCAATTTGACTAAAATGGAGAAAACATTTTTTCCCCAAGGAGTAAGATGAAGGCTAATAACTTGGGGTTTAGCAAATGGGCAGGCGCTCTCCTTCTGTCTCCTGAAATTGGCTCTCAAGTATTGAAGATACCACTCGGGCTGACTTAGAGCAGAGCTACTGACTGGTGAGAATACTCAACTGTGTCCTCTTGCCTCTTCATAGCTGCTGAGGACTTGTACAAGGACTTTCTGACCTTGGAGCATCTCATCTGCTACAGCTTCCAAGTGGCTAAGGGCATGGAGTTCTTGGCATCAAGGAAGGTATGACAGGTCAAGGGGGAGGAAGCTTTCTCTTCAGATCACAGGCCTAGAAATGAGACATCTGCTTGTGCTATTTGGAAATTCATGCATCACTTTTAGGATTCTTAAATGTGTTCCCCTGGGGAGGCTCTGATTCTGCTAATAAAAGGTGGCTAGAGGTTTCATGAAATTAATTCATATAACTAATACTCATTGACCAACTACTAAGTGCTAGGTTTTGTTTTTGTTTTTAATTCTTTTCTTTTCTTTTTCTTCAAGACAAGGTTTCTCTATATAGCCCTGGCTGTGCTGAAACTCACTCTATAGACCAGAGATCTGCCTGCCTCTGCCTCCCAAGTGCTGGTATTAAATGTGTGCACCACCAATGCCCAGCTGACTAGGTAGACTTCTAAGTGCCACCATGGTGAACCAACCAAGACAGCACTGCATCTTTCTGGTGTTTACAACGCTGGTGGCTGATGAAGCAACCAATAAACAAATAACATATAAGGAAGGTTAAGTAGGAATAGATGTTGTGGGATAAAGTAAAGCAGGAAAGACTTTCAGAATGAACGGAAATGCTATGTTTGTATGTGCACATGCTAACATGTGTATATTACAATGTTATACAATCTAAATGAGGAAGTTTTTACTAAGGATATGACATTTGAGCCTCAAAGAGGTGATGAGTGGAGTCTTGTAGATATCTTGGTGTAGTGGGGTCTATTTTTAATTTATTTTACATTCATCACCATCCATCAAAAAGATATTTGTTATTTGTACAATTAGAAGCCAGGAAGGCCAGGCTTCAGATGAGGACGATTAAAACAGCTAAAATTAGAAAGTAGGCCAAACAAAGGCTGAGGTGGGACGTGACAAGTGACAAATATTCCAAAGGTTGTAAACACCACTGAGGTGGGAGGGAGGTTAGTGGAAGTCACTTGGTGACCTTGGGAAGAGGGAGATGTGTAGTCTCACATTCGGTAAGAAGGGTTCACTTTATATTCAGGAAACGCTCTCAGTTGGTGAAGTGTATTTACTGCAGGTCCCTAGGGGAACAAAATTTCTTTTGTTTTCTTTATCATTGTAAGGTCCCTTACCCCTCTCTCCACTGAAGTTTAAAGTCTCTCAACAGTTTCCACAACCTAGGGATCTTAGATAATTCTGCTGAATATTTCTCATACTCATATTTCCCAATGAGAAGGGAGAGAACCAGGTTCCTACAGGACAGTCCCAAAGAGGAGAGAACCACAGCCCTGCAGCATCATCCCAAAGAGAAGGGCTTCGAGTCTTTTTCAAGGGTTGTTATTTTTGTAAAGGCCAGAGCTCACTCTCGGGCCAAGCAATTCCTTATGGAAACTACAAGGGAGTTATAGTGACTGGAGAGTGGGCAGCCAGAATCCTTTCTTTTCTCCTGTAATCATCAGGTGGTTTTTTGTGATAGCTCTTTGCTTGAGAGCAAGTAGGGGTGCTGTCTGCTCTGTGGCTTTTTCAGTTTTATTGACTCATGCTAGGCAACTCGATCCTGAATATTCTGGTGCAAGGGAGAATCCTGTACGAACCTGGGTGATGGGTAGGGTAGAAGCAGTGATTTCCCAGCTCCCATGGTCACTCCTGTGCTGATCTGGGTCTCTGGAAGCCTTTCATTCATGGCTAAAGTTCTTTGAGGCTCTTAGTCCCTCTCCGGTGGTACTTAGGCACTTGGCTGAGGGCTGTGATCATAGAGTGGCATAGCTGCTTCATAACTGAATGCCAGGTCAAGCTAGAGGACAGGAATGAGAGGCCACTAGAAGAACTGAAGACCTTGAGGCTTACAGCTGAGCTCTGGGGCACTTTCCAGTGCCATGCAGAATCTAGTCCACTCGTGATAGCTAGCCTTGCCTGGATTGAGCTTTACTGTAACAGCAAATACTTTGAAGTAGAATGAGTACACCGTGTATAGCCTCCAGATCCAGTGCAGCTTCAGTACCAAACAAAGTAGATAGCCAACCAAGCACACCCAACCAATGAGAAGAACCCTTGCTTCTGCTTTCTACACATCCATTCCAAACAAATCTATTCTGGGATCTCCTTAGAATAACCTAGTTTAAGCCTCAGAGGGTGCCAAGCCAAAGGATGTGTGGATGTGATCAGAGGCACATTTTTTAAACTAGGTCCATCATCAGACTGTAACTTAATCATCTAAACTCCAAAGAACAGAGCTGTTTATGGAATAAGCAGATGTGTCTCAATGAAACACACAAGCCCTTTTCCTGACCTGTTGGTATAAAACATCCCAGTCCTTGTTAATCCGTTGGTTCTCTGATGTTGGATTTTTTTTTTTTTTTTAAGAATGAGGTGTTTAACTTAATTTTTATGCACCTATTTATTTTCCAGTCCTGGCCATAGCCCCCTTCCCATCCTCCCTTCCCAGCCCTTCCCCCTGTTCCTCAACCTCCCAGTCCCCTCCTCGCTGTGTGGAGACTTATCACACATACTGTTCTTTTCACAGTGTATCCATAGGGACCTGGCGGCACGGAATATTCTCCTGTCGGAGAAGAATGTGGTGAAGATCTGTGACTTTGGCTTGGCTCGGGATATTTATAAAGACCCGGATTATGTCAGAAAGGGGGATGTAAGTACCCAAAGATGAACTTCGTGGACCATTCAGGTGCAGAATTCAGACTTTGTGGCTCTGTGTTTAGAAGGGAGGGAAGCATTTTTTCTTCAGAAAGCTGCCAATTTGGGTTCTGATGCCTTGCTATCTATCACCCACTTAGGCCCGACTCCCTTTGAAATGGATGGCCCCAGAAACAATTTTTGACAGAGTATACACAATTCAGAGTGACGTGTGGTCTTTTGGCGTTTTGCTCTGGGAAATATTTTCCTTAGGTAAGTCACTTCTCTTTGACCCTCTCCTGGGTGGAGGTTCAGGAGCAAAGATGGTAGTAGTTGATGAGCCCTGTAAGTCCTTTCCTCCCCTGTATTTTGCCTTCTGTCAAGTAGAATTTCTTAGAATATTTAGATGGTAAAAATCAAGAAGAAAAAAAGCTCTGTAGGCTATAAGGATGTACATGAATCAAGCTTAAGGGCTTTTTATGATGAATTCAAAGCTCACAATGTTCTTTCCTGCCTTATTCTAGGTGCTTCCCCATATCCTGGGGTCAAGATTGATGAAGACTTTTGTAGGAGACTGAAAGAAGGAACTAGAATGAGGGCTCCTGACTACACCACCCCAGAAATGTAAGATTCTGTAAAACATGCTTCTTTGTTTTCTCACACTTTCTTCCCACTAAAATCAGAAGGCCTTCCATTGTGAGCATCTACGTCATGGCCTAGTTTGTGCTCAGCTCTTTCTTTGACACCTTCCTTGGTTACCTCAAGTACCGTCATCACATTACTGTATTATCTACTACCAGAGAGCTTTTATTAATGGTTGATACAGATGTGGGATAAAGAAGAACCTTTTGCAGATAGTTGGATGTCTGAGCACAGACGTCTGTGTCTCCTACAGTTTTCTATCTCTAGTTAGCATCTCAGCTCTTGCTAGGCTTTTTACAAATGCTTCCCACTCTGAGTATTATTTTGACCATTTGCTCTTGGAAGAATGGCATGCTTAATGAAGCCATTGTCTTGTTTGTCCAGGTACCAAACCATGCTGGACTGCTGGCATGAGGACCCCAATCAGAGACCCTCGTTTTCAGAGCTGGTGGAACATTTGGGAAATCTCCTGCAAGCAAATGCTCAGCAGGTTGGTAACCCTCTACAAAGAGCCCTCCGGTCGAGGGTCTGTGATCTAACACTCTACTGCCTGAACATTCACAAGTCACCATGCTATCCCTGGTCACTGACAAGGGAGCCTCTGTCTTCCCGCTCTGGGCAGTAATGCTTCCCTAAAAGCCACCATTCAGAGTGACGTGTGGTGGCTTCCCTAAAAGCCACCATTCCCTAAAAGCACCATTTTAGACCGACTGATAGGATCCCAATTCGTACTTTGGGAATAGACAACTCTAGTCTATTTGTAAGTTGCAGGAACCTGTTCTCTCTACCTTGCAGGTCCAGGGGATCAACTCAAGTTATAAGGCTTGCCTGATGATGCCTTTACCCGTTGAGTCTTCTTGCTGGTCCTCACATACTTGTTTTTGTGTTTTGTCTTCAAATATTCTTCTAAAGTTGAAAAAAACATCTGCTGAGTGTGATGGTGCATGCCTGTAATCAATCTTAAGGTTGAGGCAAGAAAATGACAAATTTGAGGCCAGCTTGGGCAGCATAGCAAGACTACCTCAAAAATCAAAAGAAACAAACAAAATGAAACAAACAACAAGAACAAAAACAAATCTGATTGACTTACTGATTATCAGAAATGGAAAGAATTTCAAGTAATTTTTAGTTAATTCTTCAGGCGAGTCCAAAACAAAACAAATATGTAAATTATGCAAAACCATGACTTTGGTCCCTCTTGGTAAAATGTCAAGCTGTTGGGACAGTTCCACAATGGAATTATGTCCCCCTTTTTGTTGTTGTTAGAGAGTTTTTCTTTGCTGTTCAGGTCCCTTATTTCAGTGGGGGCCAGTTGCTTTCTTCTTCCTTCTGAACACTTGTGGGTGATGTCTATTATCACCAACAAACCTTCCAAACATTTAAGTGTATTGGATCATCTTGTCATTTCTTTTTCTTGAGACTGAATTACCCAGAATTCCTATGCTCCTGCTGTTTATTGCTTTTCTCCTCACTGCCTTCTGATTTTCCATTGCCTTGGAATGTGGAGGCTGGACTGGAGGCAGTCTGCTTTGAAGGTCCGGCTCCTGTGGAGGCCTTTGTGGAGAATTGATTTCTGGGCTCTGGGCTCTCACATCTTGTCCACAGCCATTGCCTGCTTTGTTTTCATGGCAACCACGGCCTCTTGTCCTCTACTAATCCGGTTTTTACTTAGTCCCTTTATTAACCTTCTTGCACACATCCCTTTCAAGTGCCCTTTTGTTTCTTTCAACCCTTTTCCAATGCAGTCTTGAAGTCTTGTGTTCAGATATGAAAGCAGCATGCACAGCCAAGACGCCCCCCTGCCCTTTGTTTCTCTTGAAAAGGCCCTTGAAGGATAGCAGCCATAACAATAGCATGCTGTGTTTATTGTTTCAGGATGGCAAAGACTACATTGTTCTTCCAATGTCAGAGACACTGAGCATGGAAGAGGATTCTGGACTCTCCCTGCCCACCTCACCTGTTTCCTGTATGGAGGAAGAGGAAGTGTGCGACCCCAAATTCCATTATGACAACACAGCAGGAATCAGGTATATGGCCAGCATCCCCTCAGGGGGCCTTCAAGGCCAGCTCAGGGGGTGGGGGTGCGAGGAAGACATTTGGTTAGGCTGTCACTTGCTACTTCTAGCTAACTGGAGTTCTAACCTTCACCAGGGCAGTGTTACCCAAAGAAGGTCTGGAGGGTTTAACCATCTCCCATCTGTGGCCCATATTGCTGGCACAGCTCTGCCTTTAAGGATTCTAAGCCTTGTGGGAGCAAATAACTAAAATGCCACAGTTTGTTAATCTGCAGGGAAAAAAGAGAGCCATGGTATGGAGACATCTGTATTAAAATCGTGCCTGTGTACACTTTCATTAAGGTGAATTAAATGGCTTAGAAAAGACTCAGGAAGGAAGAGTGCTGTGCAAATAGGAAACATACTGAGGGCTCTCTGGTGAAGACACAGCATGCCACAGGCTGTGTCCTGCATGGGGCTGTACACTACAGAAGTTTGTCCCCAGTCTGGGTTTCAGCATTGTATTTACCTAACGGGGCGCCTGGGTTTATTTAGAACAAATGCTATGCAGTGCAGGCTTGTTCTGTGCAGGGTTCCGCAGGCAGCTTTCTGTGCTTTCAGTTAATACCTGCGCATGAGGAAAATGCTCATGGGGTTTCCCACAATATGCTGATGTTAGTGTTGCCTTTCCTAAGTCCAAGACAACTTCACTTTGCTTTGGGTATTGTCCTTCTGCAAGCAGATTCCCTGACAGCATGGGTGTGTCCAAGCTGCAGGAGGAATGGGCAGCTGTCTCCTGTGGGAGGCATTGGTCCAGTTGTCATGCTGCAAGGAGGTTAAGGAGGCGTAAGGACAGAGGAGACAGAGAGAGAGAGAGAGAGAGAGAGAGAGAGAGAGAGAGAGAGAGAGAGAGCACAAAAATCAAGAGCGGTCAGGATTTCTTGAAGAATTTTTCTGCATATTATCAGATTTCTGTCTATGAGAGAAGTCTAGATTTAGGCAAGAAGGAAACTATCATCTAAGTTGGATGCTGAATACAGGTCTTAGCTCTACCACCTGAAGCAGGGCAAATGTTGTGATTAAAGATGTAGACATGAGAGCTTAGTAAAACCAGATATGATGCCTGGATCTACCTTTTAGCAGCTTCGTAGCAAGTCCTACATCATTTACCCCCTCCCCCAACCCAGTTTCTTTGTGAAGGAAGGCATGGCCGCTGTTTGTGAATGGCCAGTTGGAGGATTGCATGCTATGATGTATTTGTAAGTGCCTGGCACTTGAAGGCACTTCAAAAAGGATAGCTGTTAAGAGAGCTGCTTCCTGTCCTGCCCCAGAGATGAATCCACCTGATCTGATTCCAGACTTAGGGCCATTTTCTCTCCTTCCAAGGAGAGGTTCTCAGAGAGGAAGAGTCTTGAAGTGAAACTCCCATGGATGCAAAGCCCTAGTCCATTTTGGCTTGACCATTGTTGCTGCCATGCTATATTGCCTTCTCCTTAGTCAGAGAGCCATTTAATGGCTCACTGTCCTCCTCATGTTCTGTGACCAGGCAGAGGAGAAGTTCAGGGCTGGACCATTTGGCTTGCTGGTTTCTTGGAATGTGGTGATAAGCAGGAGATGAAGTCCTGTGTGGGTGATAGAAGGACCAGTGTGAGGCTGGGGCTAAAAAAGGACTTGCTAACATTTATCCCCAGGAGTGTGGACTGATGTGACACCATGCTTTTAGACCAGCCAGGCTTGGCTCAGATTTTCTGCCTCTGAGTTTTGAAGGAGCCTTCCCAGACTAGGTTCTCTTTTAGGTACCCATAAACTGAAAAATTAAACAGAAATTGGAAGCTTTTGTTTGCATCTCCTCTCAACTCCATTTTTTTTTTCCTTCTAAACAACAAAGCTCTCTATGACCTTACAGTGATCTAAACAAAGGCAATGAAGGTAGGGGTGTGCGCACCCACTGTGCGAGGTAGTGGCAGTGCGGGATTCTCCTGTTGTTCGGCTTCTCAGGGGAAAATACCTCGAGGCTGTGGCACCTCCCAGAGCATGCTCTGTCTATTTCCATGCTTCCAGACAAGCAGAAAAAGCTGAGTCTTTCTGGCTTTGTTTCTTCCTTATACTTTTCAACTCTCTTGCATTATAAATAGACCTGGCCAGGGACATCACTGTGGGAGACAGCCTCTTGATTTGTTGCCCCTTTAAACTATTTTTAAAATATTTGTTCCACAGTTATGTGGAGAAGGGGCAGAGGAGTGGGGGTGGGGGAGGGCCACTTATGTCTAGACTTAGCTTTGTCTCCAATTTTCTCCATAGATCCTCTCGGGCCCCGAGTGTGCATGCTTCCCGAAAGAAAACCCAAATTCCCTGGGCTCCGGGGGAGGGCCACTTATGTCTAGACTTAGCTTTGTCTTCAATTTTCTCCATAGATCCTCTCAGGCCCCGAGTGTGCATGCTTCCCGAAAGAAAACCCAAATTCCCTGGGCTCGTCTCTCTTGGAGGGCAGTGTGTGGACCAACTGTGGTTGCTTTGTCATTTTCTCTGGGAGTTTCACCTCCCATTCCAAGCAGTTTAACAGAGATTTCTTTGCAGTTCTCTCCCAGAGCAAGGCTTCAGTACACACTATTTTCCTCACTCTGATTAATTGCTAGTGGTAATTAAATACCCATGGTGGATTGATGCCAGGGAGAGCCTACTAACTGTCTAGCCTTTTCTTGATTTGGCCATCATGTTAGATGACTTGAAATAGGACTATTCCTTTTCTACCTTTTATCTACTTAACTACTTAACATACTGACTCCACCTGCTCACCCACTCACCACAAGGTCAGTGCACATGGTGGGAACCAGAACAATGTTGTGAACACAGTAGGTGTTTAACAAAGATTTGATCAACATGTCTTTGACTCTCTTCTTTCTTTTCCATCCTGATACTCCAAGGGAGTCTTGTGGAATAGGGTGAGGAAAAACAACCCCATGTGGGTTTCAGAGCCTGCAAACTTGAGTATGAATCCTGGTTTTAGCCTTCATCTGCCATTTTCTCATTGAGCCTTGCTTCTGTATCTCCAAGTAGGAAATAATGGGAGAACTGTGCGGGAGACTGTGGGGAGCAGATGCAAGGAGATCTTGGGAAATGCTTTGTCATTTGTGAGGATTTAAAAAATATACTGTTTTTAAATCATTGGACTCAGAATTCAAGGGTCTGGGTCTTCCCAGAAGCTGTATGCTACCCAGGCCTCATCACTCTGCTGGGTTCTCCCTTCAGATATCTATGGAATCCAGGCACTGCTTCAAACCCCATTTGCATTCCCTTTCTTTAATCAGATTCCCTGCTTTCCTGCTAGATAAGCGTGAAGTCTCCTAACTGGTTTTCCTGTCTCTGGTCTTCTCAATCGCAGCCAACTTCCCAAAAAACCGTATGTGGTCATGCCAATCCCATGCTTAAATTTTTCAGTAACCCTCGCAACTGTAGTCTAAGATTCTAGTTGTGTGGTTTCGGACCAGTAGATTTTGGAGGGGTTACTGTGAAGACGCCATGAGGCATGTCTGAAGAGTATTCAGCTTAATGCCTGACCTGTGGTAGATCCCCAAAGGTCTTCCTGACTGAGGGAATAGTCATGGTCCCAGTGGGCTTTGACAGTCACTGCTTTCAAGGATCAGAGTCAGTAGGAGATGGGCTTTGCTTGTTCCCTGTATTGCCTGTCCTCTTTCCTGTGGAGTCTCCTGAAGAAGGGTGTCACTGGGAACCTCATTCTCTCTTCTGTGTGGGGAGGAAATGACCTCTTAGGGGAGAGAAGAGGCACTCAGCTCCCAGTCTTCAACTCTGACCCAGCAATGCACTGTGCCAGCAGGCTTCATGTGGTGGGACAAGAGTGAAGAATGACTCTTATCTCCGTGAACCTTTCCTGTAAAAAAGACTTCTCTTACCCTCATTTGGGCTGTAAGAGGTTTGGATGTGATTTTCTGAACTCCCCCAATGTCAAGTGGCAAGGAAGAGCAACCAACAGGAAAAGTGATGTGTTTGAGTCTCTTTCTTTGAAGGTCTTTGGAATTTAAAAGAGGAAAACAAATGCTGGCTGATAGAGTTTTGTGCTTCCTTGGAACACCAAACTTGACATTTGCCATGCCATTCACCTTCCCAACAACCTTGTGAGCTTTAAAGAATAGCTATTACCTACATGTATTTAAAATGGAGCAACAGAGCCATGACTTTTATTTCTATAGTCAATGTTAGACTCAAAACTAGGCTTGAGACTCTGAAACATGGCCGAGTAAGACCCATCCCACCTCACTCTGTGCCCTTGATCTGTATTTCATGGAGAAGGAAGAAACTGACTTGATATCACCGCCTAGCACAGTATCCTTTAGAGAGACCAAAAGTGTTTCTTCTGCCCAGACTGCCCTGTCAACACTGTGTCAAACACCTTTCTTTGGAGATGGCTAGAAAAATGGAAAGCATGCAACCATGCATCCAGGGCTCACTAGAGGAATCCCATCCAGTTGGGGCCACAAGAAGGCAGCTACTGTTGAGTCAGCTGCTGTTGACCTTAGTTCAGCACTGGGCCTCAGAAGCATGATTCACAGGCACAGGGTCTCCCTTACACTTCTCAGTTCTATTATACTTTTAAATGGACCTTCACAGGAAATTAAACCTTCCGTGTGTGCTAGCAAAGAATGATTCTGTTTTTCTTCTTTCCAAAGGATGTTTTTGAAGGTTGCTATTAAACTTGTGGTTGAACGAGAATGAACTTAGGTATCACTTGAGGCATCCACAGCCAAATATACCACCACCCAAACACAAATAAATATTTGCTCTCTTGCAGTCAGTATCTGCAGAACAGTAAGCGAAAGAGCCGGCCAGTGAGTGTGAAAACATTTGAAGATATCCCACTGGAAGAACCACAAGTAAAAGTAATCCCAGATGTAAGTACATCTTTTATAAATAGTCGTAGAAATAATACTCAGGGTGAAATACTAGCTAGATAAATATTAGCCTAAGCTTTTGAGTCTTGGAACTTCATTAAGGCTTTCCTTGAGGGTGTGTGCCATGGGGTCATTATGGAGATGGATCTTTGGTTTTGCCATGGGAAAAGGCACCTGGACCAAGGTTCAAGATAGTCCAACTGTATGCCCAACTTCACTCAACTGCACACCGTGTCACTGTGCAGAGAGAAGGAGACCCCAGAATCCCTGGTTTCTGCATATCTTTCCTCTTTCCTTGGCCTAAATCTACTTCCCAGAAGCATTTACTTCCTTTGAGGCTTGCACAGTCTCTGGCTGTCATACCCTCACCCTCCTTGGCAGGACATTGAATCATATTGTCTGCTAGATGGATTGAAAAATGAGTTTAAAGAAGCTGGTCCTGTGTATACTCACTGTGTTATCTCATTGTCTCCTAAAAAGGATAGCCAGACAGACAGTGGGATGGTCCTTGCATCAGAAGAGCTGAAAACCCTGGAAGACAGGAACAAACTGGCTCCATCTTTTGGGTAAGGCTCCGCCAAATACAAAAGACCTTTGCAATAGGAATTTCTGAAAGGACCTAATAAAGACATTCAGTGTGGATGACATTTCTCCTTTGTGTGTCTTTGATGGATGACATTAATACCCCAAATTAGCAATTTGAGAAAGTACTGAAATAAACCAAACATTGAAACTGATAGATCTGAAAAAAATCTGAAGTCAGTTAGAGGGTTTGGTTAATTTCTAATTTCCAAATTTATGAAGACTCTGGAGCTTCTGGGCATATTGACATGGTAAGCATATTGACTGTGATCAGTAGTTTATGTGGTCCTGGCCAAACATCAGCAGACACCATAATCCTGAAGAGATAAGAGTTTGCAGTCTGAATGATTGCCAAACCTGAACTTAGCTGACTTTATCTATAATTAAGAAAGATGATATGAGCTGGGCAGACACCTTTAATTCCAGCAGAGACAGGCGGATCTCTGTGAGCTCAAGACTAGCCTGGTCTACAAGAGCTAGTTCCAGGACATCCTCCAGAGCCACAGAGAAACCCTGTCTTGTAAAAAAAAGATGATATGAAAATAGATACATAGTCACTTATTTAATATACTTAAATATTATTGTTTGAATCATTGCCTTTTCAGTTGTGGGAAAAGTATTAAGTTTGATTTTGAGTCATTCATCTTTCATGGTTCAACAGGAATGTGTAGTTTCTTTGAATAAGAGTACCTGATTTAAACATAAGAATTTATGAGAATCTATAGTTAAGAGAATAATGAGATAATAGCAGTTATTTATTTGCCAATAGGTTGTTCATTTTAGGTAGGAATACAAAAGATTTGATCTACATATAATGGGACTGCTGTATGAGATGGGAATCCCGGTGGGTTCTTTGAGCAATGCCTTTGCAACAGTAACAATGGTAACAGTAAATTTTGCTGTTTCTTTTAAGGCTCAGTGAGAAATCATGAGCGTCAATCATATGCTTCTTTCATTGATTCCAACCATACTTACCCAGAACTACTAAGTGGCCAACTTCATGGCATTGTTTGAGACACGAATTGGTTTCAGTGTGGGGAGGGAGGAGTGGATTGAAAGGGGAAAAATGTATTTCTAGTTCTTTGAACCTACTTTAAACCATATCTTAACACAGAGTAAATAAACTCTTTTTTTGTGTGGTTTTTATTATGAATAATGAGGCTAAGGCCCCCGAAAGGGCAAACCCTGAGCTTTTCAGTCCACACAGCCTTCATTTGTTAGTTTTGACATGATTACTATGTCATTGAAACATTCTCTAGTTGCTGCTGAGTGATTGAATCCCCAAATTGTCCAAAGAATGTGGTTTTGATGAGTAAAAAGCAGTTTTTGACATGTCCGGCTTGACTGCACACACTCTTTTTTTTTTTTTTCAAGTTTATTAACATCTTTCATAAGTCATATGGTCTTCAAACTGAGCGAACAGGAAAAACACAAATGAACTTTTAGAACATCCCAGTTTCCTTTAATATCATGAAAGAGACCCCTTGGCTCCAATCACTGTATACAAACTTGTCAATCATCAAGGCCGTAAAACGTGGTCTTCAAACTGAGCGAACAGGAAAAACACAAATGAACTTTTAGACCATCCCAGTTTCCTTTAATATCATGAAAGAGACCCTTTGGCTCCAATCACTGTATACAAACTTGTCAATCATCAAGGCCGTAAAACTGTTCCATTGGTTGGGGGCTCTGCATACCTCAGCAGAACCGCCTTTTATCTCATCTCAGGCTTGAAAGACTTGGACCTGAATAAGAGGACTTATCTGCAACTACTAACTCATGCTAGTACCTGAAAGTAGATATTGTCTGAGTAACCCTGATAGGCTGATTAGGGAAGGGAGAGATAGGGGCTGATGTTTCTGGAGGAGATTCCACCTCCTTGGAGCTGGGAACTGTGTGAGTGTGAAAAGCCAAGGGGCCATCTTCTCCCTTTCAACTCATCTGGTTGCTATTTCTTCCACAGTGGCATGATGCCCAGCAAAAGCAGGGAGTCTGTGGCCTCGGAGGGCTCCAATCAGACCAGCGGCTACCAATCTGGGTACCACTCAGATGACACAGATACCACTGTGTACTCCAGCAAGGAGGCAGAACTTTTAAAGCTGATGGAGGCTGCAGTGCACCCTGACTCTGGGACCACGTTGTGTTCACCTTCGGTGTAAAAGGAGGTGGTCCCACCCCACTCCCGAAGTCCTAGAAATCATGTGAGAGGTGCTGCTTAGATTTTCAAGTGTTGTTCTTTCCACCACCCGGAAGTAGCCACATTTGATTTTCATTTCAGAAGGACCTCAGACTGCAAGGAGCTAGTCCTCAGGGCATCTCCAGAGAAGATGACCCATGACCCAAGAATGTGTTGACTGTACTCTCTGTTCCATTCATTTTAAAATTGTGTATACTATGCCCTGCTGTGGGTCTCACTGCCAGTTAAAACAAAAGACATTCAAACAGTGGCTCTGTCCTCCAAGAAGTAGCCATACCAAGGCAAAGGACACCTCAGTGAAATTGGGTGAAAATGGGCAATGTTGGTGCTTTGTGTGTTGAAGACGGGTGAGATGTCTAATGGCCGAGTCTACCTAAAAGGCTTTGTTGAGGATGTGGGCTATGAGCCAAGTGTTAAGTGTGGGATGTGGACAGATAGGAAGGAAGGTGCAAGCTCTCTTGGAGAGCGGCTGGAGCCTGCAGATGCACTGTGCTGGCTCTGGTGGAGGTGGGCATGTGGCCTGTCAGGAAATGCAAAGGCGGCCGACAAGGTTTCTGGTTTTAGAAGGTTGCGTGCTCTTTGCAGTTGGGCTATAGGCAAGTTCCCTGTGCTGTTTCCTACTCCTAATGAGAGTTCCTTCCGGACTCTTACGTGTCTCCTGGCCTAGCCCCAGGAAGGAAATGATGCAGCTTGCTCCTCAGCTCCCAGGCTGTGCCTTAATTCGGAACACCAAAAGAGAGGACATTCAGTAAAGGCTTCTTTTCATGTTAGTGCATAGTGCAGCTCAGGATTTCTGCTGGATGGATACCCACATTTCTGCCCTGGTGGCAGTGTCTGAGGCCAAGCACAGTGGGTTCTGTGTCAAGTTGTGGTGGCAAAGGCTCAGACAGGATGAATCCATTTGTTCTCCCTGCAGCCCTGCTCCCTCTCACCCCTAGTCCTCAGTACTTTAGCTTTGTGGCCTGTTTATGGTGGAAACTCTGAATTGGTTTGTTCACTCTCCAGATAAATAATCATTAGCCAGATTTCAAAATTGCCTTATAGCCAAGGTTATAATAACATCTACTGTATCACTTAGAATCTTAACATATAAAGCTATGTCTACTGGTTTTTGCCCTTTTGCTTATGTTTTCAAACAAGAAACTGTACTTTTCATTTGGTACCATAGTGTGAAAAGCTGGGAACAATGACTGTAAAACATGCTATGGCACATATATTTATAGTCTGTTATGTAGAACAAATGTAATATATTAAAACTGTATATTATATATAATGAACTTTGTACTATTCACATTTTGTATCAGTATTATGTAGCATGACAAAGGTTATAATGCTCTCAGCAGCTAATGTTGTTTTGTTAAAAACACTGAAGAACTCGAAGGAATCCTTTCACAGGAGATGCGCAGCTATACCTATCATTTTCTCATCTCAAACAGAGGAGGAGGAATCAGATATAATGTGAGTGTGGTCGACTTTTCCTTGGTCTCTATTCTTATAAAGAGTATTTTCATCAAATGTCTATAATGCTTTATAAACCAATAAATGTATTCCGAGTAAAAAGATACAGTGGTATCATGTTATCACAACTATTCCATGGCCTCTTCCCACTTTGTCTTCATTACAATCACAATTCATACAAAAACACAGCCTTGTCACAGCCTGAGCACTGGTGACAGTGGTAACACATGGACTGAGACAAGAAGTTCCATGGCCTCCCCTTGAACCTCAGAACTCAGGGGTGGGACATGGTGAGGCAGAACTGGAGGCAGGGAGCAGATGCTCCACTGTACTCCACTGTCTAGCTAACGTAAGGATGGAAGGTAACATCCATTGTTAACATTTTTGAATGACTGCTTTTACCCGAATTCAGAGAACAAACACACCCCCGGCAACAGTACATATCTCCATCTTCAGAAATGTTGAATGCCATTCTTTGCTTGTGTTTTGAGAAGACAGGGTCTTTAGCCCAAGCTAGCACCTAACTTATGCAACCAAGGATGGTTTAGAACTTATGTTTCTACTCCCTTTACCTCCACAGTGCTGGGATTCCAGGCATGCACCACTATACCTGGATTTAATTGATGTGTTTTTGTAAATGTAAGATTTTTAAATATTTATCTAATCAAATATGGCCATCTTTTTAAATGACTTTTAGGGTTTTCTGTTTGGTTTATCTTAACCACTCTTCCTCAAATCTAAAGTAACACCAAAATTCATGTTTTTCCCCCTGTTTGATTACATTTTCATTTACTTTCTTTTCATACATGAACGAAGTTCATACAAGGTCTAAGTTTTGGTGATGTTTTGCAAACAGAAGGTCAGACACGGCAATTCCATTTGTGAACTATAACTCTGCCTTCCTGACGCTGGAGAGCTATCTTGATTGCATTACTTTTCAGCCCCTACCATCTTACTAAGATCTTCTACCCAACTTTATGATGAAGAAAGTAGCTGTACATGTGTGTGTTCCTAACAGCCAGGGACATGGGCTGGGGTTGGTGAACTTGGACCCTGCTGGGAATTCCTCTCCCTTCCCTTAATCTGGAAAGAGAGCCTCAGTTAGTCAGGACAGAAAGACCATAGGGAAAAACAGAGCCTTCTTCACTTTAGGGGGTAAAAAGGTGTCCCTTCTCACAGGTGGCTCCTGGAATGTTTCTGATGTCAGGAGTCTGGATTCAAGGAAACTCTGTACTCTGCTTTTCTAGCCCTGTGAAGGATGAGTAGAGGCAAGGTGTGGCCTCTGCCTCCTTGCTGTCTGTCTGTCTTCCATATGTTGTTGCTTAGCTGCTCTCTCTCTCCTCTCCTGCCCCTGCATTAAAGAAATAGCAGTAGCATTTTAGTGCTTCTTGCTTGGTCTTAGGTTCCAAGCTTTACCTCCAGGGGCTTCTGCCCTCTTTCCTTCATGTCCTCCCAATGTCTCCTGTGTGCTCACCTTCCATTCCTCTGCCCGCCAGCCCCCTTCTTGCCCATCTTCCACCTGTACTACATTTTTACTCCACAGCATCACAGGAGAGAGAGCTGGGGGAGGTTCAAGTTTCTAATCCCTGGCCAGGCTTCCCATCAATGCACACTCTTTTGTCCTTTGCAATGAAAAGAGAGGAGAAAAGGAAAAGCCACAGCTTACTACCTCTAAGTAGCTAACTTAACCCAACTTTCCCATCTTTCTTAGCATCTCCCTCTCTACCTCTGAGTTGGACATGTATCTTCTGGTGGCAAAATTGTTTGCAAACCTAGAAAACCTTTGGGAAAAAAAGACATTTTTCCTCCACATTACTCTGCATGTAGGAGTAATGGGCATGTCCACATTCTTGGATAGGCAGTGAGCACAGCTCAAGAGGGCTTAGATTCCACCTTTATAAAACCATGATTTGAGAATGGCTAAGAATGCTTGCTGATCCTTCAAAGGACTCAATGTCTGATAGCTCAGCACCCACCCATGGCTGGGAACTTCAGATCCTAGACAGAGACATGATGGCTTCCAGCCCCTGAAGACACCTGAACACACATGATACACACACACACACACACACACACACACACACACACACACACCACTAAAATTGCACTTTTAAATGAATTTCTTCCATAAAGGAGGTAGGCATAAGCAAACTTTTGTATGATTTTTTGTGAGCAACTTGAAGCCCTTTTCTGGGAAAAGTTGGAGAATCTTCCTACATGATAAAGAAATTAACAAGGTGAAATAAAATTGTTTATTTTTGAAAGTGGTGAATCTGGGAGGAGCAGTGAGAGCTCTTTACCATTCAGGTTGACCTGACATTCTGAGCTGATGTGGTAGACACACAATTACCAACCCAGGAGAAGCCTGACTCCGAGATAAGGGCATGGAGTTAGGAGAAAGTGTTTGAGCCAGAACTACTGATAACACAAAGGTTGCAGTAAACTATCAGCAACATCAAGTAAATGTCCTTAGAGGACAAGGAGTTATACCTGAGATTCTTTTCCATAGCATGGAACTGTCAACTTCTTGGTTGGAACTGTCAAAAGCATCAACCTTAGCAGTTTCACTGGCTTTTTAAAGTTTAAATAATATGTTTTATTATTAAGATTATTATGTATTAAGATAATATGTATCTTAATGTTTTCTTCCAACTTCCTTTTTATAAAAGTACTTTATAACATCGGGTGGGTGAACTGGGTGATGCAATGTCCACACATCATTTCTGTGATTTCTCAAATTCTAGAGTCCTCACCAAGGAAAATGGGTAGAGAAGAAGAAAACTGACCTCTTCTCTAGTTTTGCTCCAATTTTATTGTCTTTTCCCTTTTTATAGTAGATGACATGTTAGAGGACCTCCCATCTGTTGCTAGCACTAAATACCACAGACATGGTTTACAAGAGGCGTTTACTTTGTTCATGGTGTGGGAGATGGGAAGTCTAATAACAAAGTGTGGCCCTCTGCATACATTTATTTCCTCAAATGGTGTACACTTTTATGTACATCACTTTGGAAGTCCTTTAGGCAGTAGGCACATGGAGTCCAAGTGGACTTGAGTTTTTCTTCAGTCTAAATGTTATAGATCATACTACATCTGTTCTGTCTGATGTGGTTGGGAAAATTGCCTTGGGGATCTGTTATGAAGAGAGAGAAAAACAAATTTTTTTTCCTTATCATCCAATTTTTTAGCAAAAGTTAGCTCTCTGCCCAGCATCTGTGCCTTTTGTACCAACAAAGAGCTGAGAGGAGCAAGATAAAGACGTTGTACCAGAATCCATTCCTAAATAAGATCTTACAGAATTTTTAAATAATACTCACATGAAAAGTGAGAGCAAAGGAGCCAACACTGGCCAGCAGGTGAAGCTGATAACCTTGGATGGCATCCCTGGGGCCACATGTTGGAAGGAGAGAACTGACTCTCACAAACTGACCTCCACACACATGCCCACATACATGCCCACAGAAAATAAATAAATAGAAATGTACTAACTAATTAGTATTAACT